GGGGGGTCCCAATTGGGGTTCCTGCCGTTCCCCCCGGCCGCCCGCAGCTCCCTGCTGTATCTCACCTCCTGGGGGTGCTCGCAGTTCTCTCCATCGCTGCACATAATATCTCAATGAAATTTCCTGCGTGTGCGAGTCCGGCTGCCGCTGCGGGGCTGCTCAGAGCGTACGGGCGGCTCCGCAGAAGCGAACTGTCCCCGGTCACCCCAGCGGCGATGGAGGCAACGTCCCCCCGGCCTGGGCTGCTGCTGGCCGTGCTTTGCCTGCTCGCGTCCCACGGTAAGCTCCAGCTTGCTTTCCTCTCCTCCCAGCTCAGAGAAACTCTCCTCGCTGGGGCACAGCGTTCACCCAGCCGGGGCTGAGCCTCGGCACAAGGAATTTGGGACGTTTTGGGGGTTATTTACTTTCTCACTCTGCTTTTGGAGTGGGGGAGATCAAGCCAGCGTTTCACGCGATGCTGGTTGTGTCAGGGGAAGGGGCCACTGGGGAGCTGCTGTTTTAAAACTCTAGGATTGTTGTGGGTTTGTTGTTTTTTTTTTTTTTCCCCTTCTTCCTTTGCTTTGATCTAACATGCATGGAAGGAAAGCAGCCAGCCCCTGTCCCCACCAACCCCCCGCTGAGGACCCCAAGCTGGAAAAGCCACCCGATTCCCACACGGCACTTTGCCCTGGCACTGTGGAGGTCCCCGGCCATGCCGCGGAGAAAAGGAGCCAGGGGAGCGGAGAGAGGCGGTTTATGGGAGCAGGGCCGGGATGCCCTCTCTAAGGATGCTCTGTAATTGCTGGGACGTGCCGGGCAGCTTCTCTGGGTGGGCAGCCAGCCGGGCCAGGGCCACTGTGCGCGGCCACCGAGTTTCCCTTCCCTTAAGTGAGTGCTTCCCAGGGCTGGAAGCTTGCCGGCCACTCCCGGCCCCTCGCCAGTGCAGCGGGGGGATGCTCTGGGAAGGGGGGGTCGCTGCTTCATGCCTGACTCTGCACCGGCCCCGGTAGGCAGCGTTTCCGTACCGAGGCTCCGCGGTCAGGCAGTGAAACAAGGGCGGTGGCAATTAAAACCCCAGTTTGTCTGCGGATGAAAGGTCAGAGAACGAAGCTGGGAAGGACCATGGTACCACCCTGCCCTGCACAGGCAGAGGACAAACATCGTATTGGGTTTGGCTTCTCCTCTGTCCCGGGATGGCAAAGTGATCGCCTCCAGAATTTCTGTCGGCACAGCCCCAGGAAGAAATGATGTCCCTCTGCAACGGGGCAGGGGGTCCCTTCTCCTCTCTCCTCTGGGACAGCAAAGCTGGTGTGGATTGAAGCATGCTTTGCTTCTCATCCGAGTCTCTCAACATCAGGGACCAATTCCCAGCATCTCTGTGGGGCTTTGGATTATTTCTTTTACACACCTGCGGTGCAGGGACCGAACATCAGACCTTCTGCAATGCAAGAAGCTTGGGTGCTGATGTTCCGCCTGAGCCTGGTGCCAGAGGAACTGCGCTTCATGCAACCGTGTGCCTGCCGAAATTTTCTGAATCCCTGGCGAATTTTAGCAGGGCTTGATGGAGAAGTAGAACCCTTGGTGACATCCAGCTCCTATGCAGTTTGGGGACACTGGCAGCTAGGTGGATGTGGAAGCGGCTCCCCTCCACCCAAAGGATGGCAGCTGGGCTTTCCAAAATCGCATCCCAAGCACAAACCTGGTGTTGTGACCCTGTCCCTGAGCCAGGGCTGTGCTGGAAGAGGAGCCAGGCAGGACCCTCCGGCAGGTGTGGCAGCTCCAGGCTGCTCTCCCCACAGCCTGGCTGGTGGGTACCCCGGGACCAGCCCCACCGCTGAAAAGATTTTTGGCACCTCAGGGTGCAGGAGCTGGGGGCCCTTAACACGGGCATCTCTGGCATCTTCAGTCAGTTTTTTCTGTCTTTTCTCTTCCCTGCTGTAAGTAGTTGTGCCGAGGTATGGATGCCCCTGCACATCTCACCTGGCTGATAACTCGGAAACGTAATGACAGCACAGTGACAACGGTGCTTGAGGCAATTTCTTGTGAGTTTGTTATAAAAGCTCCCAGAAGAGGAATTAAAGGAGATTCCTCGCTCTGGGACTGAGCAGCTGCTTGCTCTCCAGCAGCCCCTGGCCTGCAGTGGTTGAGTCCCTCCAAAGGCTGCAGCCCTCCCACCCAGATTTTCCTGGAGTGGAAAGAGGTGGCATGATGTGGAAATCACTTCTGTAAGTCACAGGAGTGTAAATCAGATGCCTGCTTGCCAGAGCCGAGGACCAAAGTTAGGAGAAGCAGCCAGGAGAGGCTTTTGGTCACTGACCCAGAATTTGGCATGAAATCCTGTTTTAAGCTGTTGGTCAGCAAAGCAATCCAGGCTCCTCGGCATTAGCGCTTTTTTGTGTTTCATTTTCTCTGAAAGGAGAGCTCCCAGGTTTCAAGCCAGGCAGTGGTGCTGGCACCGGGGATGTACCAGTGCTGCACCGGGCTCTGGGCCGCACCGATGCAATGCCGCGGGTCAGAGTCAAAGATACTGAGGTAGCAAAGATGAAGAGGAGCACTTTTGGCACACGCTTGAGACCTCCTCTGTCTTTACCAGATGGTGGCAAGATGACAGCTCTCAGCTCAGACCTTGAAGGGTCCAGGCTCTCTCAGCTGGAGATGTGCGGAGGTGGGCATCAGGCTTTATTTTGGCATTTGCCAGCAGTGCCGACTTCAAAGGCAATGGTCCGGCTGGGGTGGGATGGAGCCAAACCTGGGGTCTGGGCATGGAAGAAGCCCACAGTGCCTGGGGGAGATTAAGATCCATGAGCTTTAGCGTGAAGAGACCGACAGAAGACATTTCCTCCGGGCACCATCTGGCATCTAGCATGACTTTAAAGCCTCGTTACATCTTGGGGAGGGAACAACAACCTCCTTGGTGCTGCTATGGGGCACGCCGTGCCTTGCCAGCTCTCCTCCCCAGCTGTTTTCTCCTCCGCTCGATAGCTTTTGGATGCCTTCCCCTGCTCGGGAGAAAGAAGGGAAGTTGGTAATGCCGAAGGCTTCGCACACGTGATAACTTCTGCTCCTCCCCGTGGCTGGGTGCCGCTGCCGAAAGCGTGGGCTGTCTTGACTTTCCATTCAGATGGTTCCCATCCAGTCCTGGAGGTGGGGGTTGGATGGTTTAGTAAGGCACAGCTTTGCAATCTGTGTGGGGATGAGCGGGACGGTCCTGTTTTATTCGAGGAGGGAGGGGGGATGAAAAACAAAGACTCCTGCAGATACTTTTGCAAGGTGTTGGAAGTGTGGCTTCCTCCAATAGAGCCCTGGCTTCCCTTCCCCTGGCTCCCGGGGGACCCCCGATGTGAATGGGGCACTTCCCGTTGTGGCAGGTATCAAGAAACACATCTGAGGTGTCTTTTGTGCTCAGAGCGCTGGCAAGGAGGTCGGGGACCCGCTCCGCTGCGTGCCAAAACCCAGCCAGCCCGGCCAAGCATCCCAGCCCCAACAGCACTTGAGGATGAGGAGAAGCCGGAGCTTGAAATCAAGCCCAAACGAGGCAGCATTGAGCTAAGGCCATGCAAACCTCTGTCCCAAAGCAGCCCCAGGGATGTGCTGCTGGATGTGCCATGGGGAGCAGGCTGAGGCTCCTGCAAGGAGCCGGAATGATTAGCTGGAGCGATTTGGCAAAGAACACGCCGTCCTCAGCTCCGTGGGACTCCTCGACACCGCGTACTGCAAACTGGGGAGGGTCTGATGGGGCAGATCCCCTCCTCAAACCCCCCCCTCTCCCTGCAAAGCACCCTCGGAGGCAGGCTGCTGGGACTTGGGGGCTTCATGGCCGTTCTTACAGGGCTTCGAGATCACCACCATCCAAAAAGCCAGAAATAACCACGGGGGGTGGAAGGCACAGAGGACATTTTTGCTTTCGCTCTCTCCGGCGGAGCCCCGTGCCGGGGCGGTGACACGGTGACCCTGCCGGGAGGAGGATGCTCACCGGGCAGCCCGGCGATGGGGAGCCTCTCGCCCGGCTGGATGGCTTGCGGGCAGGCGCGGTACACCTCGCTTCTGATTGACGCCCGCTCGATATAGCAAGCGAAAACCTCAAAGCGAAACGGTGGCGGAGCTAATGGCACAACAGGATGTTACCAAAATAAAAGAACACGTTGCCTTCATACCATCTCCTGTTGCAAACCAGCCACAAGAACCTCTCTTTCTCAATCATTTAAAGAAAATGAACCTAGAATTTCTTTGTCTTCAGCTTTCAAAGGTGATATTTGCACTTCTGCAAACACAACGCAGCAAGGGGGCCAGAACACCAAAGACTCGCCTGTCTTTGCTCTTTTCTCTCCCCCCATGTACAGCTCCCCTTACCCACCAGTACCCTCCACCAGTGTGCCGGGATGGGACCAGTAACGCTGTGGTACGCTCCCCTGCTTCCCTCCACTCCCCTCAAACACACTCCTGTGCCTCTGCCAGCCCTCCCACCCTGTGTTTTGCAGCCAGCAGCAGTCAGGGATTTCTGTCTGAAAACTGTTTTCATTTTCAAGCAGCTCCTCGCCGTCGGCGTTGGCCGGTTCCCCCTTCTCCTCCCCTGGGGCTGAAAACCAAGCAGGGTGGGACCTGTTCCCCGCCTGATCTCGGGGGGCACGGGCTCCTCCTAGCTATTTTCTTTTCTTTTTTTTTTTTTTTTCTTCTCCTTTTCATTTTTTTTTTTTTTGGCAGCTGGCTCAGCAGCAGTTGTATTTCCTCATTCACAAGCCTTACCCCGCTGCCCTGCTCCTCTTCTCATCCTCTGCATGCTTTGCAGCGGTCTGCTGCCCCATAGCAGACCCCTGCCACCTCCCTGCCCCACGCCTCTGCTAGCCTGGGACAAACTTTGCCTCCCTGCTGCTATTAAAGGCTGATACTCGGCTATATTTAAAGCATGCCTCTTGTCCAGGGCTTATTTTTAGGGTGAAGTTGTGCTCCCAGCCCTGCCGGGACGTTGCTACAGAAGCGAAGGGCTCGCTCCGTGCTTCCCATCTCCCTTGTCTTGGGATATGGGGAGCTGGTGAGTTTTTCTTGCCCTAAGGGGATGGGTGAAGGCTTTTTTCCCCTCTGCCTGCAGGCTGGTGTTGATGCTCTCCGATCGCTCTCTGCAACCCCCAGCCATCCCTCTACCAACATCGGCGGTGGGGTTTGCAGTGCTCGTTTGGGGAGGGACCCCCATTTTGCCACGAACCCAGGGTAAACCCAGGGCTGTAGGGTCTGACTCGGCCGCCGTGCCTTCTCCTCGGCAGGAGGGTCGGCAGCTTTCCTGATCACCACCCCGTACTCGCTCTGCGTCTGCCCCGAGGGTCAGAACATCACCCTGACCTGCCGGATCAGTGGTCCTCTCCTCGACCGCCACGACCTGCTCTACAAAACGTGGTACTTCAGCAGCAACGGTGACCAGAGCTGCTCCGAGAGGAAGCACATCCGCAACGTCACCGAGAAGGAGCTGCACCATGAGCCGGGCAGGCACCATGAACTGCGGGGCAACGGCACCCAAAAATCCCCCCTCGGGGGGCAAGCCAACCATCACGGGGTAGAGTTTGTCTCCGACCACCACGGTGCCTTTCACATCGTGGTGATGAACCTGACGCTGCAGGACAGCGGGAATTACTGCTGCTACGTCGTGGAGGCCAGGCGGGAGCACGGCAAGACCCAAACTCTGCACGTTGCTCACAGCTTTGTGGAGCTGCAGATCCGGCAAGGTGAGGAGGGGGCAAGGGAAGCCCCTGCCAGCACCCACAGCCGTGCCAGGGTGCGTCAGGGGGAGGGGGGGTGGCAGGGGATGCCCATGCGGAAAGCTCAAGCCATGTTGCAAGAGTCAAAGAGCAGCAGACGTTCAAGGTTTGAATTAGGGCCAGAAAGCATTGGAACATTTAAAAAAAAAAAAAAGAAAAAAAGCAGCAGCAAGAGGTTGGAATGCAATAAAATCCATGCTACATAGTTTTGCTGATCTTCAACCTCTTTCTGGAAGACAGGGAAAACAAACCTCAACATAAAAGGAGCTGGCTGGGGCTCCAAGCCCGAGCGAGGGTTGCAAGCATCGCTGGGGCTGGAGGGCTTGTGGATAACTTCAGGGCAGCTGCCCAGCAGGGAGAGCTGCCCAGGGAGGCGTGAGGGGCAGGGGAAGGCATCGCCTGCCCTTGATTTGCAGCATTAGAACAGATAATTTTTCTTTTAGACCAAATTAAAAAAAAAAACAAAAGAGGCTGTGTGGCCAGGGACGG